GCACATTGGTGCAGCATTGCAATACAATGAGCCATGTGGACTTATACCTTCAGAACCCAGTTTCATGTGAACCAACAGTTTGGCCTCCAGCCTCTTTCACAGCCTCTCATGCTCTGCCTGGCCCTTGGGGCCACAGAACCCAGCCTGCCTCTAACTTGTGATATGAACACAGATTCTCAGTCTTTTTTTAGCCTCAAGTTCCTCAGCTGTGAAATAGAGGGATCTACCCAGTTCATGTGGAATTCAGATGAGAATGTGTGAAAAGTTGGTGCATGGCAAATGCCAGTTTTTTGCTCCTCTGCCCTTGTCCTGCCTCAGTCTATGGCCCATTACACCTCTGATGGGGGTAGAGCTCTGCATGACTGTCTTCAGGGCCCTCAGACACAACTTATTACAACAAAAGTAAAATCAGGGTTTTTGATTCTGATGACTTTGAGACCTGTGTTTTGAGGGGTGTGTTGTCCCTCGGGAGTGATGGCATTCTTGGAAATCACTCCTTTCTGCACCATTCATTGTTAAGCACCTGAAGGGTACCCATATGTCTGGGCATTTAATAAATAGAGTAGCTGACATTATGAGAAAAATAGCAACTTCTCCCTGTTAAAAATGTAGATCTCCTATGTGACGAGGCATGATGCAGTATGAGAACCAAATCTGTTGTTTTGCAAACTAGCCTCAGAGCTGCACCGTCTCAGCAGACCTGGTGTAGAAGATGCCCTGGGAAGCTGGGTAGCTGCTCTGTGGCAGTGTCCCCCTACTCAGTCCAAGTCAGATAGGTCAAGCAGTGGAGGTTCAGCTAAGCTCACCTCTTAGTTGCCCATTTTCTGCCTTTATTATTTCATTAGCAACCCTGTCTATGTTTATGTAAAATAAAAATGGAATTTTGAAAGAAGGCATTTCTGACTTAAAGGTCTTAATCAAGATGACTTGGGGCTAACAATCTAAAGAATCTTTATTTTTGTTTTGCTGGGGAAAGATGGAAACTCCTTTTAAGTTCCCAAAACTTCACTTTGACAAGTGAATGCAAAGTCTTTGTCCCATTAAATGGCATGAGAACCCTAAAATGCTGAGTAAAAGATGATCAGCTCATTCTGAAAACACAATTTCAGTGATTTGATGGCCACTCCTCCAGGATCACAACATGACTGTCCAACAACTCAAATGTTTCCTGGGTATTTATCACAATTGTTAGCACTTGCTTCATTTCTTAAATCTGGATTATTAATTACCTACTATGGAATTTAGATGCTAAAGAACACTGAGCCAAGTGCGGGCAGGTGTGGGACCTGGTCCTCAGGCTACTGAGCCAACATGGCCTCATACAGTACACTGCTGTATGAAATTTAGATGGAATTTAGATGCTAAAGAACACTGAGCCTAGTGTGGGCCGGTGTGGGACCTGGTCCTCAGGCTACTGAGCCAACATGGCCTCATATAGTACACTGCACTCATCAGCAAGGGCCTGTCCTCTCTCTAGTGGGGACAGCTCCTAATTCCATAGTTTCACACTCCACTAGCAGGTGGACAGTATGGTGGCCCACTGCAGCCACCCAGGTACTGGAGGCTGGAAGGGTAGGTACAGGGGCAAAGGTGGACAGTACAGGTGGCCCATTGTAGTCATCCAGGTCCCAGAGGCTGAAGAGGCAAAGGAAGAGTCACCAAGTCACAATGACCCTTTCTAGGCCACCCACAGTGCCCTGGTTGACACTCACCTCTCATCCCTTCAGGTGCCTAAGTTGCTCCCCTCCCTTCTCCTTAGTTTACCACCTTGACTTCTTTCTTCTCTTTGTCTGTGTTCTTCCAGGCCAGCTCAGCTTCCTTCTGGACAGTTGCTTATTTTCTCTGCCCTCCCTGCTCCTTTTTTCATCCTCTGCTTCTCCTTTTCATTTCTTCTCCTTCTGTTTTGGAGACAGGGGTCCTGCAGCCCCATGCTGTCTGCATTTTCTTTTATCCTTCCATGAGTGCTTCCCCATGGCTGCCATTCTCCAGACTGCCAGCTCTCTTACTTTATATTCAAGGTCAGCTGACAGACCTTGGGGCAGTATGAAATAGTTCCTAGCATATACACACACACACACACACACACACACACACACTCCCATTTTTCTTTAGCAATCTTAATCTTAGTCTCAAAACCAGAGCCCCTATTTTATTCCTCTTTCAACAAATATTTATTGAGAACTTACTACATGCCAGACACTGTTCTAAATATTGAGGATAGAGTGGTGAAAAAAACAAATAAAAATCTCTACTCTTGCGGATCATACAGTGTAGTTGGACATGGAGAGGAGGCAGATAGATAAGAGGTGAGAGGTCCAGACAGAGGGAAAAGTAAGGGCCAATGTCTTAAGGAAGAACACGTTTAGTATATCCAGGGAACACCTTGGAGTAAAGCTCCCTGAGCCAAGGTTTGCAGGATGCCCCCAGCTAGGGATGTGTACATGTTGTCCCTTTTGGGGACTGGACTTAGGTTTCCCTGTGCACTATCAGTCATCACTCCTTAGGAGATAGATGTGGCCACAGAGCAGCAAGTGGTCCCCCCTGCCCGAACCCTCACTAAGAACCGATTATTGGTCACAAGAAGACACAACTGCTTAAAACTTCTCAGATCCCACAGGAATGTGGTGAGCAGTGAGAGAGGAAGAGCAGGGAATTTAAACTCTTAAACACAGCTCCCAACTTGAGAAGTTGAAAGAAGTCTTCAAGAATGCAGAGCTCTGGTGTAGAGGAAAGCTGAGTTATGCTGTGCTCTGCAATCTGCAGGAAGTGTTCAGCAGCCATGGGCCAGGGAAGCCCCCCTGGACAATTTTTCCTGGGCTAGGGGGTGGAGGAGGGCCTAGTGAAGCAGGCTACCAGGGGTCACGTGTCCCTCTGCTCATGAAGGCCAGGCTCTGCACATAACTGGGAGGGAGCAGAACAGAATGGTTCTGCCTAAGCCTTGTTTAGAAGCCTGAGAATGAGGGCCCTGAGGGAACAAAGGCAGTGCATGTCCACCCTGACCAAGGAGACATGATTTTCTTGGAGAGGTCTGTGTTGTGCACATGCATACCCCAAGGAGACGCTGTCCCTGCTTTGCATTCTGCAGCTGCCATTGTATTCACTAGCCATGGGATCAAAAAGATTGTCTTCATACCATGAAGACACAGAGTGAGACAAACTTAAACAGGGTCCATACTTCAAGTACATTTTCTTGAGAGCAAGCACAAAAAGTCTTGTATCATCCTTATCAGTTTACAAGACTCCCACAGATCCCCTCTTTCCTCTTGCTTTCATCCTCCTTTTGCATGAGCCTGAGCTGTGGGGATACCCGGCCTCCTCCCACAAGAGGCAGCCCTGAATTGCAAAAGGGCACCTGTAGTCGCATAAGTGGTGTGAATGCAGCTTCCATCTGACTTTTTCGTTTGTGATAATTCCTTGTCACTACCTAAGAGCTCCCTGAGAGTCATCCAGTGTGAAAACAGGTTACATTCTGCATCCTCTGTCACTTGAGCATTGCTGCGAAATGAAAGTCAGTCTTCACACTGAAGAGTCCTGTGATAACTTGCTTTATCCTCCCTGAAGCCCAAAGTCCTTCCTAATTATCAGTGTTTGTAAAACAGGAAGAAATCAAGCTATAAGCCTTCCTGTCATCCTGCAGACGCCCTTGAGGGAACCTGTAAAGAAAAAATAAATAAATAAAAAGGTCTTTATTGAATCAAAGAGAGGTACTTGGGATATGTAAGTTTAGGATATTGGGAAAGCACAGCACATTTTATTTATTTTGTCTTATTTAAGGTCAAGAAATTTTTACTCTATAGGATTTTCATTCTGTTCTAGCATATTCTTCCTGGGGCCTCTTAGACCCAGATTGCCTCCTTTTCATTTGAACCCTACAGTCTTGTCACATTTCTGTATTCATCTACTAAGAAGGCCCCTCTTGGGTAAGGAGAGTACCCTGTGGGGTCTGTGAGCCTTCTTAGTCCCCAGAGACCTGCTGCTTCCTTAAGCCCCAAAAGTCCATGGGCCCTGCAAGGGGTCAACTAAAGTCTCTGGTCTCATTGAACTGAAGCCCCTACCAGCTTTCCTGACTGAATCTTGTGAGAAAAGACAGTTATCTGACACAGTTCTTACTATCAACTCAAGATTTACCATTCTTCAAACCCAAAAGTAGCAAACGTAAAAGTTTGCAATATTACCCAGTCCCTACAAATACCCAGTGAGGCTAGGAATTGAGGGGTATTTTACAAGAGGGACTTGCTATGGTTCATGGGCAACTTAGAGGCCCAACTTCTATGCCTTAAGCCAGGATTTTCACCACTAAGATATTTTTCCTTATATTCAAATAAGCTTTAAAAAGTAGAATTTAAATATTTAGTCATGGTATAAATATTGCAATGAAGAATTTCTTAATCAGACTGCCTTTGCTTTACAAAGGACCTCTCAAGCCTCTCCCAGCTCAGATTGAGTGGATAAGCCAGGGCTGGGTTAGACTGGATAAGGAAAACCCATTCCTACTTGCTTAACTTGCTCTCCCTAAAAATATTCAGGTTTTCCCTAAAGGTCTCTTTTGTCCAGAGCATCAGGCTATAAACAATGTAGAGAATAGTAAACAAACAGAGTTCCCTATTGTACTTCTGATACCACTCCCCCAGGCCCTTGGACAGGTCTCGCATCCTCGAGCTGTCAGACAGGAAAGGTGGTGCTGGCACACACTTGCCTGGGTGGAGTGGCACATAGCAGGGCTGTGGAGTGGCTGTAGGCTCTTGGATCCCCACCCCTTCCTTGCATGTGTCTCCCTAACCTGGTAGTGCTGGGAGTTCCCCCTCCTCCACCACTTTGTTGGTTTATTTTGAGGAGCAGGTCATGTGCTATATGTGAAAGGCCTCCAGAGGCACCAGCTACTCTTTCTAGGTTGGGTTCACTCAAAGAAGAGATCCCATGTGCCCCGGATGACACCAAATAGCCCTATGCTTACCCTGCCTGCCACTCTTTATCCTTGCCCCCGTTTCTTCTGCCTGCAGGTACTTGGCACTCTATGCCTACAAGCCCCAGAAGAATGACGAGCTGGAGTTACACAAGGGTGAGATGTACCATGTCCTTGAGAAGTGTCAGGATGGCTGGTTCAAGGGCACATCCCTGAGGTCTGGGCTTTCTGGGGTGTTTCCAGGGAACTACGTGATGCCTGTTTCCAGGTGAGGTCATAGTTAGTTGCTGTGGGCAAGAAAGGAGGAGGCCCTCACACTGCCCTGCAGCTGTTGTCACTGCCTGGAGATCATGCTGTGTCTGGGCCACCCCTAAACACAGTTCAGAAGACAGTCAGGACATGCCCTGCCTGTGGGGTTCTGCCCTGTGAGCTCAAAGTCCCCCTGAACAGGGGTTCTATACACCATATATGGTGAGCATTTCGCCTTCTAAATTAGGTGTGCTTGTCTTTCCCTGAGCAGACACTGGCTGCCAAGGGAGAGGATGGGAACTGAATGAGCAGGAGTCAGGGCAACATCACTTAGTGAGGATAGAAAGTCAACAAGGAGAGTGAGATGTCAAGGCTGTTCATGCTGATTTGTGTGTGTACAGGTGTTTGTGTGCTTGTGCACTGTGTGAGTATAGCAATGTGTCTGTGATCACACAGACCTGTTATACATAAAACATACACATATGCATGCATGCAAAGGAAACATACTCTCAAAAGATAACAATTGTTATTAAGAGGTAATATTATAGATTAAAACTTTTTCTTGTGCTTTCCTGTGTTTTATAAATCTTCTGTTATATTATTTTTATAAAAACAGAACATTTAAAAAATTCATTAACATGATATCCAAAGTTGTCTGAGAATTTTCCATTGAGATGATGGGTCCACTGCTTGAATTTATTTCCATCAGTCTCACTCATGGAAGCCTGCCATCGGTACAGGGCTGTGTCAACACTCCAGGACCCACAAACTGAGGCCATGGCCCATGGGTTGATGCTCTCTTTGAAACAAGATTGCTGTGAAAGAAATTAAATGATGCTTAGACCTTGCATTGATGGCTACACTGCTCTATACTTTTCAAAGCACCCTAGGGGCAGTGCTGGCCTAGATGCATGGTCACATCTCACCTCATTCCACTGCCCTTCCTGGGAAGTCCCATCATTTGTGAGCCCACTTTATTTCATTTTTTAAATGTCCTAGGGTAAAATTGAGTTCAGCACGTAGCAGATGTGCTAAAAACTTCATGGTTTTGGCTGGCCAGCTCACTGAGTTCCTTGGTGGAAGTGAATTTCAGGGCAGTGCTAAGGGCTCGTGCAGGAAGGTGTTGCAATGCATCAAACCCTTTTCTAGGAGGCCCTTTTTCTAAGCTTTTCTGCAGGACCCCGACTGAACACTGCAAGGGCTCTTTCCCATCTGAAGTCAGATCCACTGACACCAACCCAGATGGAGAAGGGACCCTCTTACCTCACCTAGGAGCCACCGGCCTGAGAGTGCCTGTTCTCTCCCATGTGTGGCTTCTGGTGCCTCATGACTGATATCCCAAGAGGATAAAGGGTAGTTCACCGATATCTGGTACAAATGGAATATAGTCCAATCCCATGAAACTAAATCTCTAAAGCTTTCAAGATCTGACTCCACTGGGTCCTGTACCCTGACAGCCAGAGCATGAATTGAGTGCAAATATGCATAGTGCACAAGGGTTTAAAAGCCATTTTCCCCTTTAAAAGGTGCTGTTTCTTAAACACTTTAAAATGGTTTCATTTAGAAACCATGGGGTGAAAGGGCAGTGGGGTCTCGCAAAAGTAACACCTGCTTGAGTGTAGTTGGTAGGGTAATGACATGGGTGTAATGATTTATAGTTTTAATTTGAACATTTCACCAAAAATGTTATATGGTGTGCTTAAGTGTGATATTGTTATGTTTAGAATCACATACTTATTATTTTATAATAAAAGGGGGTGTTACTTGTGCCAGACCCTGTATTTTTCTAGTATGAAACTCTCAGTGGGATGTGGTTTGTCCGTGCCCCTTCCCAGAGGCTAGCAGAACCAAGACGGTAGCAATGTCCAGAGGTAATGGGTCTTTGCCACTACTCCCATCATGTGCCAGATATGCCCAAACTGAGTCATCTGTTCTTTCTGAATGTGTTTAGGGACTCACAGCTGTTTGTTAGGATGAGTCAAAACAGTAGACCTGGTACAAAATATTCTATTGATTAGAATCATTCTTCTGTTTTTAGTGGGAGGGAACTATTTCTTGAATATTCGCATGGAGAGTTGGCCCCCACGAAAGTGTTATGAAGTGTGCCCTTCTCAGCTGGAGCTCTGAACATTGTTTACCTACAAGAGTTATCTTGGTACTAACACAGAGCCTAACACAGGATTTGTCTCCAAGACTGATGGCCTTCATCTCAGAGCCAGTCTGTGAGAGCAGGCCTTTATCAGTGGACTGTGTAGTGTGGTTTCATCTGTACTGTCCCCAAATTCATTCTGTTTTATTTCTTCAGGGCTCCCTTAGAAGGGGCTGGGCTACCCTGGAATAATGTGGTTGGAGGTTCTCCACTGGCCAGAGGGATAGCCACAACAATCCACCCAGGTGGTAGAAGCCTGAGCAGCCCTGCTCGTGCCCTGAGACCAGTTCTTCCTCTCAGCACAGCCCAGGTCCAGCACCAGGCAGCCTCTCCCCTAGTGGGCAGTTGTCTCTGGCACTCAGCCCAGTTGGTGGAGAGCCGAGCCCGAAACACCACCCCCACAGGTATGTACCAGTCTTTGTGGGACCTTACTCTCTGGAAAATTTGACAAGAAGGTGGGGTCTTGGCTACACAAATCAAGAAACATTCTGGCACAGGTCTCCAGCAGTTCACAGCAGAAATGAGGCAGAGGGGCAAATTGTAGTTGCTTATCACAATCATCAACCTCTGCTGATCTCCAGGTAATTTATTGACCTATTTTATCCTGGCTGCTGAAGTGGATTCAAGAACTTATGAATATTTATACATTTCATTGTAGCAACAGGACTATATGGACTAATAAGATTAATAGTGGTGCTTTTGGACTCTCCATTTGAGGCTACAAGGAGGGTGTGGGTTGGCCTCATACACCTTCCATGGCCTAGGCACTTAAGGGTTTCCAATTAGGCAGCACATCCTAAGCCAGGGCTGGTAATGAGACACTGAAGCAGAGTATTCCCTGTCTGAGATGCTCTAAAGCTGGAAGGAGTGATGGGCATTGATTGATCCTTCACCTTCATGCCAACACTATCAATAGACAGGCTTACAAAATTTAAGGAAAAACTGTTTTTTTCCCAATATGGTGTGAAGTGAAAAAAAATTATAGGGTGGATCGTATAGGCATAAACAAAGTAAACACACCTTGTTTGGAAGCTTAGCATTGAGGAAATAAGAACTGCTGGAGCTTCATTCAGGTAACACTCCTAGGAGCTCACACCAGTGACCTTCTGAAACCACAGTGCCAACAACATTGTCACCATGCAGTAAAAGGAACTCAGAAAAGGAGGATATAGCTCTGACACAGAATTCCTTTTCCCACACCAACCTTGTTCTCTCAGAAATCATCTCTCATCTTCTCAAAGTAAGGCTTACAGGACACACACAAAAAAAGTGAACTCTTTGGAGCATTAAAATACATGACTTTTTAGAACCTAGTTAACCAGACACAATCAACCCACTAGAAGTACTCCAGAAAACAGCCTCTCCAGGGTGAAAAGTCGATAGTCCCTAGTGCAGCAGGGGCCATGTTTTCTTCTAAGGCACAAATGAGATGGATATCCACTCACCACCCCACCCCAGTTACTCTCTGAGGAAGGTGGCATATATGTTCCCATGCTGATGACAGTCTGGGCTTACAGGTGGCAGCCGGAACTGCTGAGTATTTGCAGGAACCGCAGAATGTGATATGAGCCACCCTGAGTCAGCATCCCCATTCTAAGCTCTCCTAGGCTGACAGCCAACAGGCAGCACTGGCTGAGAGGGCTGTGGGGCACTTGGTGATGGGGCAGGGAGAGTGGGAAAGGCTTCTCGGAAGAATCCCATCTCAGAATTAGCATCAAAGTAATATTCGAGGCCGTGGGGAGGGGGGACAGAAGGGTGCCATTTGAAGCAGGAGGAAAGGAATAGTCAAACAAATAGAAATGGGAGAAAGTAGTCTTATTCTACCAGCAGCAAGCAATTCAGCAAAGACAGAGCAGATAGAGGCCTGGCTGAAGGCATGAGCTTGGAAGGCAGGCAGACCTATTTTGAATGCTAAGACTGCCATTTTACTGGTGGCCCCAGTGTCTTCCTCTGAAAGACAACACATACCTCCACCGACACTCTGTGAGGACTATCTACATGGCATATACAGTATGTATTCACTACACTGTAGCTATTTTATTTTTTGGTTTGAGAGTAAGAATATTACTAGAGTGCTCAGTGCATAAGAATAAAAAAATAAACATAAAAGTTATCACAATCTGGGGGTTGACTTCTCTGTTGAAGGCAGTGGGGAACCACCACAGGATGTGAAGTGAGAGGGTTTGCCCTTAACCAAATGCCACCAGACACAGCAGGGAGGAAGAGGTGGTGCCAGCAGCCCAAGGATGGGAGCCAAGAGAAAGGTGTTGCTGTGCCTAGGCAAGAGGTGACTATGAGTGTGGGCCCGGTGGGTGGGATAGTGGACTTGGGACAAAATAGTGAGATATTTAGGAGGCAGAATGGTTATGACTTGGAGATGGTCTGGATGGAAGTGCTCAGGGAGAGTGAGGACCCCAGCCCAATTTCCAGGTTTGTGGAACCAGTTGACTGGGAGAGTAACAGTGGCATCCCCTGACCTAGAAGAGGCTAAAAGGAGACTTGTTTATGAAGGAATATAATAACATGGCTATGAGAGATGCAGTGGGTGCTGGTTACACTGTGGCCCACCAGTTGGTTTGGAGCAGCCTACCTGAGGGGGGCTCACAGCTGATGTGTAAATCCTCAGCCTGCCTTTCAGGCAAGACACAGACATGTGATGTGGAATGCATGTGTCCTTCAATCAGATGACAAAAACATGAGGCCATGTGGATCCTTTGTGGGGATGAGTGGGGTGGTGAAAACATCCAGGAGCTTTTCAAGAGCAGGAAGGTTGTTGTGTGCAGTGTCTAATCATCAATGGGTGTGAGGTGGTCTCTGCCTCACACTGAGTGGTGTCTGTGTCCAGTACTCATGGGATCTGGCCCAAGGAAGCCTCAGGGATGGGCCTTGGCACTTCCCTGGCTGTAGAACCTCCAAGACGGACCCTGCCATCCCAGAGATTCTGTAAGTGCCTAGTAGTTTTTCATATGTATCTTTTTTCTTAAATTAGCCAAAAGTGAGTTTCTGTGTTTTTGCAGGTTTGGCTATGGGAGCCTGAGGAAGAGCTAGCTGTCTATGTACTCTAAGACTCTGCAAGCTACAGCAGCTGGTGCCAGACCTCTGCCCTCAATCGTTACCTTGTTGCCAGCTATGCTTCTAGCCTGGTTTAAGTTCACCTGATGCCATTTACTGGGAGCCTCCAACATAGGATCAGCCCTTGTGGTAGCCAAGTGATAAACCCACAGCAGAGTTTGCTGACTGGTGCTCTATGTCAAAATACTAATCTGTGGCTCTCTGAATATCTGGGCAGGACCTAAGGCACCTAAAGTCTCAAACTAGGCCCCTTCTGCTTATAAACATACTGCTCATTCACCTGCATGCCACACACACGTTTATATGTGTACTACAACAGCCCTGCTTCTCAGTGAGAGTGCACATCCCAGAACGGACACCCTGGGGTATCAGCACAAAATGTCTGTATCATGGCCTTTACATGCCACGGTCTGCTAGCAACTTTCCCAATTCAAAGAAGAAAATGAGACCTACCAGTCATTTCTCCCTCTGTGCAATAACAAGCAGAATCAAAAGAAACTGGCATGGCTAGGAACAATACAACATTGTGTCTCTCTCTCATCTATCACCATAGTAACCATTGTCTTCCATCAGTTTAATTTTACATATGGGAAGAGTGATGTACAGGGTGGTTAAAATGTCTTTCCCAGTGCATTCTATCCTAATATTTGTCCCCACATTATATCAGTCCTACCATATTAGTAAGGTAAATGCCACTGAGTTCCCACAACATTTTCCACTTTATTCTGCATTTTGCATGAGGAAAAAAAAAACTGTTGACAGTACAAGTAATGGATTGTTTGCAGCTGTAATTACCCATTTCAACAGACCCCAACCCAGGTTGTTGAGAGGCAATTCCTCAATTTTCTCATCTCGAGACAAAGTCTTACAAAAGCATTGGCCATAGCATCCAATATGATTTATTCTATTTAATTAATGTAACTTTTTTTAAGGGCAGCTATCCCTGTAAAGTACAGTGTCTACACAGCCTCATGTCAGTACTTAGCAGGAACAAGAGCTGTCTACAGCCATATATTCATCAGCAAAAAAATAAGTGAAAGAGAACGCTATATACACAAGACACTCTGTTAGGGTCTGGAGATGCAGAGAAGAGCCAGCTAGACCCCTGTTTCTACCCTCAATTAGAGGGAAGGGCAAGGGAAAAGTCTCTTTGAGCAGATTCTGAAAAATACTATGATGGAGGGATATGTGGGGTATTAAGAAAGCATTGAAGAGAGATAGTGCACTCAGGTTAGGAAGAGGGTAGGAGAGGTTTATGGAAAGTTTTCAAGAGGAGGTAATCTGTATTTATTAAATATTTTATTAGTGTTTTATTAGAGGTGTCCCCATTTTTCTCTCTTTGCTTTCCTCTATCCAGCCCACTTCCTGCTCCGCCCTGTTGTCAATGGCCATGGTTTATTCACACATGTACCTTAATTAGTTCCTTCCCCTTCTTTCCACCTTTATCCCCCTCTTCCCACCCCTCTGGTCTCTTTCAGTTTATTCCTTGTTTCCACGCCTCTGGTTCTATTTTCCTTTCTGTTTGTTTTGTTCATTAGTTTTCACTTATAGGTGAGATCATAGGGTATTTGTCTTTCACCAACTGGCTTATTTCACTTAGCATAATACTCTCCAGTTTCATCCATGCTGTCATGAAGCATAGGAATTCCATCTTTCTTTCTGCTGTGCAGTATTCCATTGTGTAAATATACCACTTATTTGATCCACTCATCTGATTAGCTTTTAGGCTGTTTCCAGCACTCGGCTATTGTAAATAGCGCTGCTATGAACATAGGGGTATATAGGTTCTTTTGAATTACTGTTTCAGAATTCTTAGGGTATAATCTATAGCAGTGGAATTGCAAGGTTAAAAATCACTACCATTTTTAGTTTTTTGAGGAAATTCCATACTGTTTTTTCCAGCAGCTGCACCAGTCTGCATTCCCACCAACAGTACACTAAGGTACCCTTTTCTCCACATAATCAGCAGCACTTGTTTGTTAATTTATTAATGGCCATTCTGACAGATGGTAGATGATATCTCATTTTCATTTTAATTTGAATTTCTCTGATGGCTAGTGATGTTGAGCATCCTATCATATATCTCTGGGCCCCCTGTGTGTGCTCCTTGGAGTAATGTTTATTCAGGTACTTTGCCCATTTTTTAATTGGATTGTTGTCTTCCTGGTGTTGAGTCATATGAGTTCTTTGTATATTTTGGAGATTAAACTCTTGTCCAGTGTATCATTGGCAAATATGTTCTCCCATATTGTGGGATATTTTTTCATTTTGATTATGGTTTCTTTAGTTATGCAGAAGCTTTTTAGTTGATATAGTCCCATTTGTTTCTTTT